AAGACTCATGACCAAACCTTTGGCAGAGTACAGGGAATCATAAGAAAGAAGGGGAGTTAGTCTGATGGGGAAAGGATAGGAGCTCCACAAGGACCAAATATATCTGGGCACAGGGTCTTTTCTGAGAATGACATTCAACCAAGGACCGTGTGTGGATATAACCTAGAACCTCTGCTCAGATGTAGCCTGTGGTAGCTCAGTAACCAATTGGTTTCCCATAGTGAGGGGAACAAGGACTATTTCTAACAGGAACTCAATGACTGGCTCTTTGGCTTCCCCATCCCCCAAGGGAGGAGCAGTCCTGTTAGGCCACAGAGGAGAGCTTTGCAGCCAGTCCTGAAGATACATGATAAAACAGGGTCAGATGAGTGGGGAGGAGGTCCCCCCTATCAGTGGACTTGGAAAGGGGCATGGTGGAGATGAGGGAGGGAGGGAGGGAGGGACTGGGAGGGAATGAGGGATCCGGACATGGCTGAGATACAGAGTTAATAAAATGTAACTGATAAGAAAAAAATAAAATTCAAAAAAAAAAAAAGAATATTGTGACAAGAGAAACATCACTAGCTAAAAAAAAATTAGAATTAAAATGCTTTCAGTGAGTGGATGACTGTGTGCGTCATCTAGCATTAGGATATTGGTGTTGTGAAGTAATGCCTACCGTTATGCTGTTTGCTAGCAAATGCGTCACTTTATTCTTTGGTAATTGAAAAAGAAAGAAAGAAACGGCAGTGAAAAGTATGGCCATTTAAGAACATGTTATACAACTTCCAGAGAATACCATTTGTTTTTCTGTTACTTTTGTTTATGTTGTTGTTGTCTTGTTACTTTTTTGTTACCGTTTTTTGTTACTTGTTACCTTTTTGTTTTGCTTTCCTTTGCTTTGCTTTGCTTTTTCAGTCAAGAGGGAGATACAAGTTTCCATTACCTTTTGAAGGGACAATATAAGGTTGTTTTTTAATCATTTTGTAGAAAATTATAGGTGCTCTTCACATTTCTGTAACTTCTGAAGTATACACTTTAACTTGTAAACTTCAAGCTAATGCTCTCTCTTGAGGGATGTAATTATGAAATATTGCCTCAAGTGAAAAAAGTTAATTTGGAGGTATATTTTCAGAGAAGCTGTGTTGTGTCTATTCTGACCTTTATTCTGTTCAGATATTCACAGAATTGAGCTGGGCTTTTCACATCTCTGAGGAATTAGAGTCATCTAACTATCAGGAAATGTTCATAAATGGAAAATATAAGCTCTGAGAAGCAGAGGGAATCCTAGATGTTTTTCTTTAAGGTCAGGCACAGGATGATGAATCACATGTAAAGTCATTGGGAGATTAGGTTGTCTATGAGAACATTTAGGAGGGCTGTTCCCATTCCCAGATACATTCCTGGGGGTGATGACTAAGTTCCTATGGAATGATACTAGTGGTCACAGGAGAAAAATGAATGGACACATCTTTTATTCAGTGTTGAAATGAGCTAAATGGCCATTGAAACAATGCAGGACTCTGAAGTGTGTGCATATTAGTGAACAAAATATAATGTAAGTGGGTCATATACAGTGCAATTCAAGTTAACATTTCTGATCAGGTAAGCTGTGGAATCAGTGAAAAGATTCATTGTTTCTATGACTTAAGGGAAAACAGATGAACGTCTAACATAAGTGAGTCGAGGTCGTTGAACTATTTTCATACTGTTAGGGTAGATATGTTTCTCTGTACATCTGCCAAGAAAATGTACAGCACCAAGACACTCGGGTAATAATGGCATGTCAGTGTTGCTTCATCCTTGTAACAAGCAGAACTATGAAAACTCTCCAGTCCTGCTTAACTCATCAAACTAAACCCCAAACTTCTTTTACATTGTTTCTTTTTGAAGCAGTGCAATGATAGAGATATTATATAAGAAACATTGTATGAAATAACAAAGTGACTTATGCAAGAGCTTTCTAACATCGGGAGATATAACTCAGCCACACATAGGGAGAAATGCACAGTATGAATGAAGAGCCTGATGTTCTTTGGGTCAGTAGATATTGTAATAAACCCTTGGGAGATACTTTCTCATCGTCTCATCTTTTTTTGTTTTTGTTTTTGTTGTTCTGTTTTTGTTTTTTTAGAGAGAGGTTTTTGTTTTTATTTTTTATATTTTTAATTAAATTTTCATTTTTGCATTAATTACAGTATATTGACTTCGTTATCCCAGCTGTAGCCTCTTCCCTCATACCCTCCCAATCCCACCCTCCTTCCCTCATCTCCTCCCATGCCCCTCTCCAAGTCCAATGATAGGGGAGGTGCTTCTCCCCTTCCATCTGACCCTAGCTTATCACATCTCAACAGGACTGGCCACATTGTCCTCCTCTGTAGCCTGACAAAGCTGCACCCCCTTGGGGGTGTCAACGAGCCAGCCACTGAGTTCATGTCAGATACAGTCACTGTTCCCCTTACTAGGACACTCACTTGGATACTGAGCTGCCATGGTCTACATCTGAGCAGGGGTTCTAGGTTATATCCATGAATGTTCCCTGGTTGGAGTATCAGCCTCAGAAAAGATCCCTGTGCCCAGATATTTTGGTTCTGTTACTCTCCTTGTGGAGCTCCTGTCCTCTCCAGATCTTACTTTCTTCCCCTTCTTTCATAAGATTCCCTGCACTCTGCCCTAAGTTAGGCTATGAGTCTTAGCATCTACTTTGATACACTGCTGGGTAGTCTTTCAGAGGCTCTCTGTGGTAGTCCCCTGTCCTGTTTCCTGTTTTCTGGTTTATCCACCATTTATTTCTCATGTATCCTACAGTGATCATCATGGGCAATAATTTCCATCCTGATAGTAACAATTTTCCTGTCGTCTGGGTAAATTAAATGCAAGGCCAATCAAATCTCTAGTTAAGAGACAATTATATGGAAAATACCTTCATTTAGGTTATAGATAGGAAGCACATGACCTTTCTCTGTCAGACCTGCAAATCAGAGATGCAGAGAGAGAAAAGTAAAACTGCACAAAAAGAAAAGTAAAAACAAGCCCCCTCAAAACAGCAGAGATGTGATAGCAAAAGTCAATTCTTCTCCTGTCTGTGGTGAGTCTCCCTTGCTTCCTATTAGACATCTCTAATCTAAACCCTTTCTGTCCCCCCTTTCTCCCTAATATTATTTATGTAGGTCACAGGTAGCTGAATCTTGAGGCTTACCTCTGTTACCGAAGTTACTTCTTCTTTTAGTGTCTACATTTCCTTACGCATTGGTTATAGTATCATCAATAAATCAAAACTGCCAAGTTACAGAATCACCTGATAATACTCGAGGGAGATATTTATCACTTTATATTTGTGAAGACACGAAATACTATTGTGACTGTCTTTACTGATGTTTACTTGTTCCTATTATTGTTAAGTCTCAAGGTTAGTAAAACTGCCATTTAATGTCAGTATTTCATGATTATTCAAAGAACAAAATGTGTGAAAATGGGATCCAAATTCAAAAGCAGATATTTTGTCTTATTAAAAAAGGGAAGCATGAGTACAAGTAGTTGGTGCAGTCGTTTTTTCTGGGAACACAATCCTCCATGCTGAGCTGATGTATGCCACAAGGTGGGAAGAAGCTTGTTTAAGATGGCACAGGAAGGCAATCTCCTAAACTTGTGCATTTTAACAATTGCGTAGATGAATGGGATGGTGAAGGCAAAGTTCTCATCACTGAGGGAGAAAGACAAATGTGAGAGAAGGCTAGAACGAACCTGGTGGTGATAGATTAGGTTGGAAGATACCAGCGAAATTTCATGCCTTGCTTAATGCAGGTGCAGGTGTTCATTTGCGTGTAGCTTATTATTTAGAAACAAGCATATATTCCACTAACTAGTCAGATCAGAATACTTAAAAAAGAATTAGACCTCTCTTCAGCCGTTAACTCTGTGGATTCTCTTGACAGGACACAGGAGAAGAGGATATGTTTAGTTTTGATGCAACTTGATGAATAGGGTAGGTGGGAAAGGAAATTCTCCCTTCCTAAGTAAAAAGAGAGTGGGGTGGGGGAGGGCAAAAGGGTGTCACTGGGAGAGGAGGAAAGAAAGGGCTACAGGAATGTAAAGTGAATGAAATAAATACATGAGAAAAATTAAAAACAAAAAGAAATAAAAAATAAAGTTGCTTTCAACATAAAAAATTATTATACCAATAGCAGCAATCACATCCTAGCACAGACTTTCAAATGTCTAATCTTATTCTCTACTAAAAGAACAAGAGAAACAACTGTGGAGCAGGAAAGGTAGAAGAAAGGTATCTTGCATGGCTGGAAACTTAGGGAAATATTAAGAAATATTTACCATGTTAATAAGAATGGCAGTGGATTACAGGAGATATCTAAACGTGTATTCTACAGCCAAAGAGGAAACAATTGGATCTGTAACATAAAAAAAGATAGTATAGACAATATATAGATTTGTAATACTGTCCTAAATTATTCACATAATAAAGAGGAGAGAAGATAAATCATGTGTGATAAGAATTTTGAAAGGTCACATACTCTGCCAAGAAAGAAATCTTGCATAACTCATTCCTTTATATATTCAGGTGAGCAGATTACTTCCTTCCAAGTAGAGCACTGAAGGAAGATAAAGAGGTAGACAAAGATCACATCAGTGTTTAAAAGTCATGAGATGGGCACAAATGATATACGATGAATGAAAGTTTCTGTCACCAGTCTTAGTGGGAGCATGATTTTTAAAGTGCCATTTTAAAATATTTTTTTACTGTTGAAATAGTCAAGATGGTCAAAAACATAATGAAATCCGAGCGATAGGGACGGCCCAGTTGATAAAATGCTTGCTGTGGAAACATGAAGACCTGTGTGTAGGTTCAGGACCCATGTTAACAGGCTGCTAGGGCATCCTGTGTCTTTTGGGCAGACAGAGGTAGAAGGGTTCTTGCCATCTACCTAATAGTCTACCTATCCTATACCCTCTAAGCAGTCAGCTTGAGGTTCATGTGAAAAACCCCATAGGAAAAGAAAAATGAATCTGCCTCTGGAGAATTTGCAGGTGTGGCTGCTGTGTCACGTGTCAGTAGGTGGCAGAGAGGAGATAGACTGTGTCTATGCTCAGGGTTCTGACCTGTGAACACCTGAATGATTAGATGGCTAACATTTGGTGAAAATATGAGAGCCTGAGATGATCACCAGTCTGGTGTCAAGGGACAACAGGGAAATAGTCTGAGATGGTTGCCAATCTGGTGCTGGCCAGAGAGGTATGGGTCCCAGGGTGGGGAAGAAGTGGAAGACTAGGACCCCCACCTGAGACCATGGCCCTGGCAGCAGAGAGCCCTGAGACAGACAACCCACCATGGGCAGACTCCAGTAAGAATAAGGAGCAAGCCCAAGACAACCACCAGACAAGTGCCATATGGCCTAGCATGACCATAACTCCAGCAATATGCAAGCAACATGACAGACCTGTCTGGAGCCATACTTTATTCCTGAGACCACTCCTGAGAAGACCATAGATGCTCAGAGACACTGGGCACTACTAAGAAAAGCACGTAAGCGGTGGAGAAATGGAAGAAAAAGAGAGACGGAAGAATGTGGACACAACAAAGAGAGGTAGAACTGGAGAGTCAAGTGTAGCGAGGAACAGCCTGATGTGAGTAGCTGGTGGTGTCATCTGGGACATTGGTGGGATCCTGGTCTGTGCTGGCACTGGGGACCACATCTGAATTCATGGTCTTGCGGCAACAGGAGTCTGTTACCACCAAAGCCCAGGCAGACCAGAAAAGATGTCTCTGATCTGGGCTACTGCCTAAGAAGATGTTGATGTCTGAGGGCTGTGCAGGAGTGGCCCCACCCCTCACCTAGGCATTAGGGGACAGCTGGCCCTGCGGACATGAAAGCAGGAAAGCTCGGCTTGCCCCTACATAGCTGCAAGCTTCAGCAACCTCACACATTGAAGGAGTTGCTGTTGAGCCAGCCCGAGTATATGAGTGTGGGAAAGCTGGCCCTGTCACTTATCTCCCCTGTAGTGACATGGACAAAGGAGAGATACCCTCCTTCCTCAGCACCCCAGAGGAGGGGGGAAACTTGGTTCTGGGGTCATAAGAGCAGGAGAGCTGGTTTTGTCCCTCACCAGCAGCATTCAGGAGAATGGGCCCACCTTGCCTGGACAGCACAGTAGATCTGACCCTTGTGGCAGGGGGCCCCAGGGGGAATAAGCCTGAGAGAGCCGACCCCACCATTTGCCTACCATTCAGCAGCATGAGGTAGGGAGAGATGCCTTCTTCCACCCTCAACCCATGCCACCTACGGAAGGTGGGAGAGCTGACCCTGGGTCATGAGAGCAGGAGAGTTGTCTCTGCCCCTCACCTGCTGCAGCACTCATGAGAGCAGGTCCTGTACCTCATCTGAGCAGCAGCGAGGTAGAGCTGGCCCTAGATATGGCGCTGCAGATGAGCCATCCCCGAAGGCATGAGCACAGGACAGCTGGCCCTGCCTGTTGTCTGCTGTATGATGGCTCTGATGAGGGAGAGATGCCCTCTTTTCACCCTCCATCCCTTGCCATCTAAGGTAGGCTGGAGAGCTTGGCCCAAGGGTTATGAGAATGGGAGAACTGGCCACCAGCTGCAACACTTGTAGAGTAGGATCTATGCCTCTCCTGGGAAGCAGAGTGGAACTGGTTGTGGTTGGGGGGTGGCCAATTAGCCGGTCCTTTGAGGGCAAGAGAACAGGCAGGCTGAGCAGCTCCGATACCACTCAGGTCCAGATTCATGGCTTTAAATTGGCCCTCAACATCTACCCCACTGATGAACTGCTGGAATGCACGAAAGGGATAGTCCTATGGATCCAAAACCACCTGATCTCCATGACACAAGGCAACAACAGAATATCCGAGAGGAGGCCCGGTGAGGTTCCAGGATTGATAGAGCAGGAAAAGCCAGAGGCCTCATACCAGACCAAGGAATCATTGTAATGAATATTTGTAAGCAAAGAGATGTGGACAAAAAAATGTATTATGGGACACACTGTGACACACTATAGCTTCTATATGATTTTTTTTCTCTGTTTGGGGAGGGAGGTACAAAGGTGGAGAGTAGGTTAAAGGGAGGAAGAGATGGATGGGATTAGCATATGTTACGTAAAATTCAAAAAAGAACCAATGAAAAGTTAAAAGAATAATAATGTGAATAAGGATTCACTGGACATCAACTTCTGTACCCCCCACGCATGCTCATACACATTCATGTGCACCTAATGTGTGTGTGTGTGTGTGTGTGTGTGTGTGTGTGTACCTTAGAGACACTTCTGTCAATCATTTTCACAGATTACTCCTTTTAAAACATTTATTTGGCTTAATAACACCAAGTCAGCACACAATTGATCTCCACTGCTGCCTGCAGCTGGAGTAATGCTTAGCATCTCTGTCAGCGCAGAGTCATTGCTACAGTAAACTATTCCTTAGGCTCCAGCTTGCTCTCTGTAAAGGCAACATGTTAAAAAAATACATAAATCATGTATCAAATATTTCAGACTCTAAAATTCCAATAAAACAATTTTCAACATTAATAAGATTCTTTTTTAAAGCTCTTTTATTCTTCTTAAATATATCCCATCCCAACTGCAGCAGTTTCTCCTCCCTCTTCTCCTAGCTCCTTGGCCTCTTACCTCCCCCATTTTCCAGATCCACTCCTCTTCTGTTTCTCTTTAGAAAAGTGCAGGCCTCCCAGGGATATCAGGTGAATTGTACAACTTTTGAAAACCATTTCATCTGATATGCACAGACTTGTTCTTTCTACAGAGGTATATAGACTGAAGAGATTCAGAGGGGAATTACTAAACTGGGAAAGGCATGGAACCCAGTTCCATATGAGAATGGTGTAAGGAGTCTGATTGGACGTCCTAGGTCAGGAGCATGCTTTGAAAGTCTTGGAGGCAAAAGAACAGAATGACAGAGCCAGTGGGACAAGAAAATCAATGTGATTGACCTTTCAACACTTGAGCTAGAACATTCCTCCTACAGCTGACTATCTGTTATTTCCCACTGAATAATGCATAAGAGCCAGATGATGATGTTAATGCTGGAGACTAGGTTATATTTGAAATATCAGCCATCTCTCTTTCTGTATATTGCCACAGTGCAAATTCATAGCATGTCTTAAGAAAATGTAATTATTTTGGAGTTTTATATGTCTATTGCTTTCAGGAGGATTTCTTTTCAATTATGAAACCATCCTTAAATCAAGAAATGAAAAAAGAGAGAGAGAATGATTTTATTTAGTAGCTGTAGTGTTCAATCTATCCTTGGAGAATCTATGATTAAGGTGAAAATAGTTGCCATTTTATAGATGTGGACCGTGAGCATGCAAGGTAATGCATAGCTTTTATACATCACTGAAGCCCAGAGTTACTCACTACATTCTTACAGCCACTCTCTATAACCCACTGCTATATAGATCCTGTTACAGTCCACCTATTAACACAGAAGTTTTCTTCATTGTACAGAGCCCAATTCTAACATTTTGGTAGTTGACTCTTCAAGCTTCCTGCTTCTCCATCTCCTTTGCTGAAGGCGTACAAGTTTCCTTTTATCTCTACTGAAACCCATGAACTATTTCAGTTACCAATGTGTTATTTATTATCATTTTTACTTTCCCCTGTACATTATGTATTTTTGTTCTCTGAAAATACAGCTCTTGACAACAACTTGAAAGATAGACTAACAGTATAGTCTCTCTATTAAAGATAGTGCCACACTATCAGCAAAACACATCTCCGTGCTGTTAATTCCAAAAAGGGATCTAACAGTGCTTCCAACTTGCAAAATAATGTGGCAAATCAGAATGTCCTATCTTCAAGAGACAGAAAGCAACTATGTTGACTAAGAGAAGATAAAGCATTTTATTTTATTTTGGTCAAGCTTGACCTATAATAAGATGAAAGAGTGCAATGACCCAAAATGTTGACAGAATGCCTTTGTTCAGATCACCAGATAACAGTTACCGGTGTAATTACAGCTAAGGAACAAAGCTAGCTGACGTGACCATCCACAGTCTATATATGGAAAGAAAAGCAAGTTGGGTTGTTTATTTGAATTTATATGGCTCTTTTTTGGCTGAATCTCCAAGTAAGTTAAGTTATGGCTTCTTTGCTTTGTTAGCCGGTCTTCTGACAACATCAACATATGTGGCATTTTAGAGATCACTCTGCAAAAAAATCTAAAGCTTTTGGCTATAACCTCCTTTGAGAGCACTATTTAATCTCATGGTTTTAGGTACCATAATTATAAACATGCATCTCAAAACTTTAAGTTATTATTCTTTTCTGGGAACAGCACTAAATGTCTAACACAAATGAAGTACATTTCATACTATTACCTTTGACCCCAAAGCACTCATTCTCTGGACTGTACTGTACTTAGAAAACTGCTGTTAGAGCTCTCTTAATAACTAATACATAGCACCGATGAGGATTCTCTAACTTGTCCTAAATTCGTACCATTCACATTCAATTAATTTGTTAAATCATTTAAATCTTTGCCTCATCTGTTTCTAATTTTCCACATTATGACTTCAGATACCTAGAATTTTGATATACACATGAAAATTTAAGATTGTTTTATCAATTTCTGTGAAATATTCTGGACTTTTATAAGGATTGCACTGAATATGTAGATTATTTTTTTGTAGGAGGGTCAATATTGTATTATTAATCCTATTGATCCATGTGCATGGTAGGTGCTTCCTTCTTCTATAACCTTCAATTTCTTAATTCCTAAAACTTTTCATTATACCAATCTATTACTTGCGTGGTTAGAGTTATATCAATACATATTTTTGAGGCAACTGTGAAAGGCGCCATTTTCTTGATTTCTTTCTCAGTATGATTGTCACTTGAAGCTACTGAGTTTTGTGTGTTAATTTTATATCATGATTCTTTGCTTGAAGTGATTATGATGGAGTCTTCAGCGTTTTTTATGCATAAAATCAGATTATCTGCAAGTAAAGATATTTTGACTTTTTTCCTTTCCTATTTATATTGTTTTGATCTCCTTCAGTTGTCTTATTGCTGTAGCAAAGATATCAAATATTATGTTTAATGGGTGTAAGAGAGTGGACATACCTGTCTAATTCTAGTAGAAATGTTTTGAGTTTCTAGTAGAAAT